GCGAGGCCCTGAGCCACTCAGCGAGACCTTGTCTCTAAATAAAATAGAAAAAGGGCTGGGGACGGGGCTCAGTGGGTAAGGACCCCTGGGTTCAGGCTTTGGTACATCATCATCATCGATAAAGGGAGGCCTCAGCCTCCTGAGCCACTTGGGTGACAGGCGGGCGCCACCTAGCGGGCTCCCCGTGCATCTTGGAGCGCCTTTGGACCCTCCGCTCTGCGCATGGATCTCGTGTCTTAAAAGTAAAGTTTTGCATCTTGAAGGAGGGAAATCGCAGGGTTGGGGACAGGAGCTCATGCCGAGTGTCCCACCTGCTCTGTGACCAGCAGTTTATGTTCTTCAACTACGTGCAGAAACGGAGGCCCAGAGAGGCCCAGCTGCCCGCCTAGGAGGACCAGCTTCTGGGAGAAAGGTCCCTGGGTAGAGGCTCAGGGGAGATTCCTGGGGCGCTGGCTCGGTGGCCTCCCCTCTGGCCTACCTGCTCGCTGAGCCTCTAGGAGGAAGGCGTTGCCATAGTCCCAAAAGAAGAAGTTGTCCTGGGCCAGCCGGTTGATGGCCGAGACGTGCCTCCTCAAGCTGCAAGGGAGAGGCCTTGGCTCCACCCCGTGTCCCCGCCCTCCAGGCCCCGCCCACCGAGCCCTGGGGGGGGGGTCCTTCCAGGGTCCGCGCCCTGCAAGATGCCATCGCCCCCAAACCTCCCCCGACCCAATGCATGAGCCCAGGTGACAGCCCCCAAGCAAGTACCTCCTGGTCCCCAAGCTCCTAGGGGACCAGAATTAGCACTACTGTAGCTGGACATTGGGTGGGGATTTTGCAAAATTTTTTTTTCTAGTCCCAGGAATGGAACTCAGGGGTGCTTAACCCCTGAGTCCCGTCCTCAGCCCTTTTTCTATTTTATTTAGAGGCAGGGAGGGTCTCGCTGAGTTGCTTTTGCTGAGGCTGGCCTCCAACTCGCGATCCTCCTGCCTCAGCCTCCCGGAGCTGCTGGAATGACAGACGTGCACCACCGCGCCGGGGGCCACCAATCTTTTCTTTGGTCCCCCCAGCATTCGCGGAGTTAGGTGAGCCCATGACCCCATCTGGCTGACAGGAGGCAGAGACTCAGGGAGGTTAAAGTCCTGCCCAGAGTCCTGCAGCTGGCCACTGCTGAACCAGGGGACAGCTTTTCAAAGTGGGTGGAGGGGGTGGGCTGTCCCTGCCCGAAGGTCTAGCGTCCCCACCCCCAGCAGCCCTGGGCCTCCCCCACCTCTCCTGGACCAAGCGTTTGAACTTAGCAGGGTTGGAGGCCATGAGCCTCTGAGCCTCCGTGAAGCCCAGCTGCACCGGGTAGTAGCCGCCATTGAAGGGGTTGTGACAAGATGTCTGGTCCGAACCGAGGTCCACCAGCAGCTCCCCTGTGGTGTCCAGTTCGTGGACCAGGCGCTCCCTGGGGGAAGGGTGCAGTGGTCAGCGCAGGGAGGGTGTGACTCCCGGCCTCCGGAGTTGGAGGCCGGGGGTGGAGGCCGGGTTGGAGGCCGTCCAGAGAGAGTTGCACCCCGGTTCCCACCCATGCACCCCGCCAGCAGAGCCCACCGTCCCCTGCTGGGGACCAGTGGGAAGGCTGCCGGGGACTTGGGAGAGGACGGGGACCATCCGTCTGGCAAATATCTAATCGGCCGAGGGACACGGGCAGGATTGGGTGTGGAGGATTTTTTGTGGAGTCCCTGAGGGTGCCCAGCCCGCCCCTCGCTCACCAGAGATCCACCACGTTGCCATGGTAACCGAGGCTGAGCACCTCCTTCTTTTTTCTCGCCTCCCTACAAGGACCCCAGAGCAGAGCAGATGGCAAAAGCGAGCTGCCCACAGCTGCCCCCCAACAAACTCGCACCCCCTCCCCTGAGACCCTGTCCTCTGTTCAGGACACACAGTGTATATATATATATATATATGTATGTATATATTGAACCCCTGAGCCCCGTCCCCAGCCCTTTTTCTATTTTATTTAGAGACAGGGTCTCGCTGAGTGGCTCAGGTCCTCAGCTAAGTAGTTGAGGCTGGCCTCCGACTGGCGATCCTCCTGCCTCAGCCTCCCGTCTCTGGGATGACAGGTGTGCACAACTCTTTACCAAGGGTGTAGACTGACTGTACGCTAGACAGAGAGAAGCCTCTGGCAGCCAGACACCCCCTCTTCCTCCAGAGGGCGCTATGGCGCACGCCTGTCATTCCAGCAACTCGGGAGGCTGAGGTAGGAGGATCGCAAGTGTGAGGCCAGCCTCAGCAATTTGGAAAGATCCTGCCTCTAAATAAAAAAGGCTGGGATGTGGCTTAGAGGTAGAGTGCCCCTGGGTCCCCTCCATGGTACTGCCAATAGATAAATATCCCTCTCATGACGTGCCAACTGTGGCCGGTCTCCAGGCCACCCAAAGCAGCCCAGCCTCCTGCCAGCTTCTCACCTGAGCCTCTGGATGCACTGGTCCAAGCTGTCAGTCACTTCCATTAGCCACCCTTGCTGGTGACGTTTGACGAGAGCTGCTTTATCAACCTGGTGGCGCCATGAGACACAGGGCCACTCCATGACAAATCGCCCCAGCACGCCACGCTCCACTCAGAAGGTGCCCTGGCCCATGCAGACCACTTGCTCCTGTAACAGGCTCAGGAGACACAGCGAGGTCCCTGCATACTGTTCCTCCTCCTGTCTCCCTTCCCAGCAGAGCCCAGGTTCTGTACAGGGTGACCCTGCACAGCCCCTGGGGACAATCACACCCGCGGTAATCACGGAACACTAGCCACCAGTCCCCTCCTGCTTCCTGCATAAGAACATCTGCGTGATCCAAGACCGCCCAAGGAGAAAAAAGAAGGGGTTTCAGCCGGGCACCGTGGCTCGGGAGGCTGAAGTAGAAGGATCGTGAGTTGGAGGCCAGCATCAGCAACAGCGAGGCCTTAAGCAACTTAGGGAAACCCTGTCTCTAAATAAAATGCAAAATTGGGCTGGGGACGGGGCTCAGGGGTCAAGGGCCCCCTGGGTTAAGTCCCTGGTACAAAAAAAGAGAAAAGAAGGAAGAGGAAGGGGAGGAG